GAGTTCGCTGCTTTTAGATGTTGTCTCCAAAGTCTCCAGTAGCAGAAAAAAGTCTCTAGATTTGGTGCTAGGAGCTTTTTAGAAATCAAAGTGCTAGAGGGGTCTGAAAAGTGGCTAAATATAGCGACTAAAGCGCTAAGTTGGCAACACTGCTCTTTGCATCATTTGTTTTCAAATGGTTTGCTGCTGTCTGTTTGGACCTTTCTGAACATGTGCAGCAAATGAACTGATCCAATATGGTGGACACTGAGCACATCAAATAAATCTGAACCTCATTATTTTGCAAGAAATGCCTCAGCTTCCTAACTCCACATCATAAATGCATCAAATCATACTGATGGGATTGCCCAGCGATGTACATCAATCCTAACATGAATCCCCTTGTTGCCATGGTAATTATTGTTTCATTATTAAAATAAAAAAAACAACACCTAATGGCCCAAAATAATAAAAAATAAATAAATAAATCTTCAGGCTAACGTCTTTTAGGTTTGATTTTCAACTTTTTGGATCTAATAAATCATCGCTAGTTTAAGCAAAACATGTAGCAAATCTGAATTCTGTAGTTTAATATCTTGGTAATTTTTATGCAACATATGAGTAGAAGCTATTTTAGTAATTCCCCTCTCCACCACTAGGAGATGTGCTTTTGTTTCACCCAGTTAGGCCATAAAGAGCCACATGAGCTATTGGAGCATCAGCTGTAAAATATTAAGTAGCTAACGGTGCGGCAGAGGGTGACGGCGTTTGGTTACGTGATACTGACAGAGCTGATGGTCCAAATAACCGCCTGGTCCGTTTGACTGACTCACAGGAGTCAAGGCTGGATAAGAATGACAACAAAGAAGCCAAGCTGCCAAAAGATCCTTGGATTTACCTGAGCAAAGGTGATCCTGGGTGGTGCTGTTGTGAGGAAGAGTGCCGGTCCCCATTAATCCAGTGGGTGACGGTAATAAGATAAACGTGTCAAAAGCTATTTCCCTCACCTCAGCCTATGTTCTGCTGCCAAACAGCCTAACAATAAAGAGCCGAAAGCCTGTTTAAAATTTAGATCCATTTATTGTTGGTTTATTTAACCCTCAAGGAAATAATGATGTGTTTGTATTTGTTAAAGATTCATTTCCAAATGTACAGAAGAGGATTAGGGCCACTGAAAAAAAAAAGAGTAAACTGATTTTTAAATTTTATTTCAGTTTAACATGGGAAAAAAGTCAGAATTCTGACTTT